TGTGTGTCGTGGGAAACCGCCCACATGATGTTTCGGTCTAGTTCCCTAATCGTTTCATAAAAACTGGATTTCTCAAAAAATATATATGCTTCCGCAGAGGAAAAATTGGACCGGATCTAACGGTACCGTTGAAAATATGACGTCTTTTTTTGTATCATGACGTAGTGCACTGCAAGGGTACGTACTCAACGTAGTGTTAAAGAAAAAAAAATATAGTCAGTACATCATTTAGGACTCCATCCCGATATACTATCTGGACCACGAAAGGAAAAGAAAGAAGGAAAGATCAACACACATAAATTTACGTTTTACAATGTGTGTGAGTGTAACTCACAACTTATTTATATTCATGATTAAATTTGTAACAATGCATGTACATGTATGAAGACGGTGTGTAAAATAAAAATTGAGGCGTTTGCCAACCGAGTAGAAAATTACTAGGAATAGAGACAATTACAGAGTCACTTGTCAATGTGTCTTATCTGTCGAAAAAACTATTTTTTGCGTCCTTCCAGTGGATTAATACGTTTTAGGAGAAGAAGTACAGAGAAGATGTCAGTGTGCACAGGGGGTAAGACACCTTTTCTCTAGACTTTCAAAGTCCTTTTTTCTAAGAGAAGAGAAAAACAGGCCTAGGTAAAGATATTTTTGGACAGACTTTTACTCGACTAGTCTAAAACCGGTGAAATACTACAGTACTGCTAAAAAACCGTGTGTGTGTGTGTGTGTGTGATGGTGTGTGTGTGTGTTGTGTGTGTGTGTGTGTTGTGTGGTGTGTGTGTTGTTGTGTGTGGAATAGTGGACTTAGAGAGGATCTCGTGTAACCAAGAAAAATTGGTTTACAGAGGTCTCCCCGCAACCCTCACCGAGGAATAATTGTCTGTCTTCGGCAAAGAGTTAGCGCTCTTGACCGAAGGTTCGGTTATGAAAGTTCCCTATGATGCAGGTTAGCTCACGGTCGTCTTTCCTGACAAGGTTAGAGGTCGTAGAAACCTTAAGGTGGCTCCCGCGCAGGAACCAAACCCCAGTAAAGCCCGACGTGTACCCATCCTGAGCGCAGAAGTTAGGGGTGGTTACGAAACGCGTGCCTGGTTAAAGTTTTGGAACGCCTCTACCGACTTTCTGCGTCGTGTCGTGTGTAAATTTACATTCATACATACCGCATCTGACGACGTACGACGTACGTGTCGTAGTGTGTGTGTGTGTGTGTGTGTGTGTGTGTGTGTGTGTGTGTGTGTGTGTGTGTGTGTGTGTGTGTGTGTGTGTGTGTGTGTGTGTGTGTGTGTGTGTGTGTGTGTGTGTGTCTGAGAGAGATAGCGAATGTGAATGACAGAGAGAAGGTGGAAGCTGGAGCATTATATAGCAAGTTATTTATAATATGAACTTGAATGTTGATAAGCTTCAAACTATTGGGTACAGCGGTATGAGCCACACAGCACTACATCAGCGGGGGAAAGACCCCGTGGAGGTTTATAAAGAAAGGCTTTGGACGTGAGGAGCTCTGACAGGAGGTGGGAATCTGTTCGGGCGTTGACTTTAAATATCAACATTTCGTTTTTTTATAATTGCAGACTCCAACTTTTAGAGAATTCACTTAATGTGAATCTTTCAAGTTCGGTGATATTGTTAATGTGAAATCATCATAATTGGTTCACTGCAACTCCAATATACACCAATAGTCAAACAGCATTACCATCTCTATGTTGCTATGCTCCATATCATATCATGTGTTTTTGTATCAAGATAGTGTTGTTTATAAAAACTAATGCGTAAGAAGCAGTGTGTGTGATGCAACTCTTGTAATTCTTGCACGCACTTCCAAATCTGTTAACAGCTGCTGAGGTTGATGCTCTAATGGTGACAGGTCCTACTTTCATACACATCATAATTACGCTCAACAACATTCCATGTAAATGAAACCCACTTTAATCGACTAATCCAATGTGTTTCCACTCCATGACAGCATTTATGTTTGTTGTTATAATGTTGACACGTACATGTAATAATGTGGTAAATATTTCCAGAAGTGACAGCAGCAAACTTTAACAACAAGAAATGCAGAGAGGAAAAAAATACATGATATATCAGAGGATGGCCAGAAGTAGAGCAGCAGTAAATTAAACATCAGGATGATCTGGTCCAGAAAGGGTTATTAGGAGTGATGAGGCTGCTCTGTTCATCTTTCTAGTTGTTGTTGATTGGCTGCAGTCTGCACTGTGTCACTGTTAATGCTTTGGGTCAGTGCTGACAGATTCAGTAAATAATTATTTTTAGGAAGCCAACACGCAGGCAAATGTTTCTCAGCAAACCAAACTGTTATATGATTTTGTTCAGAGATAGACAGATGTTTAGCAGGTTTAAAGGGAAAGTTCAGATGTTTTGAAGTAGGGTTGTATGAGGCACTTATCCATAGTTTTAGGGAACAGTATTTTAGCCAGCTAAAATATGGCAAATTTAGAAATCAATGTTGAAATGTATGGTATTAGTGACTTATCAAACAACAAAGTCACACAGGAACACTAATTAACTGATTGAAGCAGCGTGTCTCTTGTTCTGCGAGGTTGAAATACCGTTTCTGTCAATGAAGATGTAAACACTTAAACCGACATTGATTTTTTTCTTAGATGGTCCTAAAATACGTTTACCTGCTGCCTGCTTCTCCAAACTAGTTGCGCGCTGAACGTCATCTACTGTAGGTGTACACTGACTATGATCAAGTATCTCATTCAACCCTCAAATACCCAAACTATGCCTCTTAAATCCAAATCTCAGCATACTGACCTTTACTCAGATGAGCGTCTGCTATGCATTTATGTCGTTTTTCTGAAACCATATAGAAATCCCTTTTTAATAACAATCAGTACATACTGTATGGAGAGCAGATATTTAAGGATGCACTCATGAAAAGAAGAATTGTAATGTTGTAGTTGGAGCTCAGTATGTACTATAAACTAATGATTGTTTTCATTATTGTTGATTCTGATGATTATTTTCTCCATTGATTGATCGTTTTGTTTGGTTTGTGAAATCTACTGTTTGTTTGTCTGAATTAACCCAGAGCCCAGGGTGACACCTATATGAACTGTAGTTACAATGACCTGAACAGAAAACAGCCAGAGGGCGAGTGAGGGACTTGGCATTTTGTAATACATTTATTTAAACTCTACTATTAACTATAAGGTAGTTCATGGTTTGTGTTAAGCTAACATAAGCAATCATTTGGTAGACAAACAGAAAAAACAGGCAGCAAACCCCATATGATGTTTAACAAAACGCTTAGCTAAGCTTAGCTACATTCCACTTATGGTTGTGTTCTTATAATGTTATGGATTTTACTGAATGGCTCAATGATGAGACAGTCTGCTTTCTCCCCAAAGAAATGATTTGTTGTATTCTTTATGAGCTGTTTGCCTGGGTTGGTTGCCAATAAGCTTATCTGTTGGG